GATTCATGTTTTCTTTTAGATCCACAACTAGAATCCCTCCACAGCCTCATAGAGAAATCTAGATACATTTTCTAACCTCGCTGGATTAAAACCAAATTATGACAAATGTACTATATTAAGTATTGGATCACTAAAAAATACAATTTTTACATTACCATGTAGTTTACCAATAAAATGATCTGATGGTGATGTGGATATACTCGGAATACATATCCCAAAGGAAATAAATGATCTCACTTCAATAAATTTTAATAGAAAGTTAGCAAAAATAGATAAGATCTTACTACCATGGAAAGGAAAATACCTGTCAATTTGTGGAAAAATCACCCTGATTAACTCTTTAGTATTATCCCAGTTTACCTATTTGCTTATGGTCTTGCCTACGCCTAGCAAACAGTTTTTTAAATTATATGAGAAAAAATATTCAATTTTATTTGGAACGGCAAGCCAGACAAAATTAAAAGAGCATATTTATATAATGAATATGAATTCGGAGGACATAAATTATTAAAGCATTAGACCTATCACTAAAATCTTCAGTCATCCAAAAGTTATACTTAAATCCGAACTGGTTCTCAAGCAAATTAGTAAGATTGTCTCACCCACTGTTCAAGAAAGGCCTTTTTCCCTTTATTCAGATTACAACCTCTCACTTTCAGTTATTTGAAAAGGAAATAATCTCCCAAATGTCACTATTTTTAAAACAAGCCATAGAAAGTTGGTTGCAATTTCAATTTAATCCTCCAGAAACGACAGAACAAATAATGCAACAAATATTGTGGTTAAATTCAAATATACTAATTGACAAAAAACCTTTATTTTTTGACAGAATGTTTAAAAAAGGTATAATCTTCGTAAATGATATCATCGGTAGGACTGGTGGAGTTATGTCGCACATGCAGCTAACAAAAACATATGGAAATGTCTGCTCTACCCAAAATTACAACCAAATAATTGCAGCCTTACCGCAAAAGTGGAAGAGGAAAATTGAAGGGGGAGAAAGTAAGGAACTTGTCTGTCGGCCTTGCATTAAAGAACATAATTGGTTAAGGAAAACTGTGATGAATAAAATAGTATATCAGTTTCACTTAAGGACCAAAGGATTGACAGCCGTCCCATATAGATTGCAAAATAGTTGGGAAGAGATCTTTGACGTACCGATCCCATGGCATAGTGTTTATGAACTGACACGCAAAACGACACCGGATTCAAAAATTAGAATCTTTCAATTTAAATTATTATATAAAATTCTTGCTACCAATAGAATGTTATTTATATGGGGGATACAATCTTCCCAGCTCTGCAGATTTTGCTGTGAAGAGATAGGATCATTTGTTTTGGTTCTGTCCATTTGTAGCTTGTTTTTGGACACAGGTCCAGGAATGGCTAAAGGATTGCAATATTTACCTGGAACTAACCTTGCAGATAGCATTACTGGGTGATCTGAAAAGTCATAGTCAATCAATAATATAATAATACTTTTAGCAAAAATGTTTATTTTTAATTCACAATCTGTAGAAGCAATGAGAATAGAAAGGTTCAGAACTTTTGTAAAACATCACAGTACGGTTGAAATATATATGGCAAATAGAAATCCTAGATGGATGGTGTTAAGAGATAGATGGGAGGTATTGAATAGAGTTGAAGGATGGGACTAATAACAAATGACAACAAATAATAACAAAGATAGCTAATAATGTAAGCATACTGTGTCCATAATAAGTATATAGGTTGTATGTTGGGAGCTTTTGGGAAAGAGCACAGTTAGAAAGATATGGCATTTAGAAGCAAACCGGATGGACATCATGAAAATGATCGGAGAGGTTGAGAGTAGAAGTAGTTCAGGGGCAAAAAAAAAAAAAAAAATATATATATATATATATATACAGTGGGGAAAAAAAGTATTTAGTCAGCCACCAATTGTGCAAGTTCTCCCACTTAAAAAGATGAGAGAGGCCTGTAATTTTTATCATAGGTACACGTCAACTATGACAGACAAAATGAGAAAAAGTTTTCCAGAAAATCACATTGTAGGATTTTTTATGAATTTATTTGCAAATTATGGTGGAAAATAAGTATTTGGTCAATAACAAAAGTTTCTCAATACTTTGTTATATACCCTTTATTGGCAATGACACAGGTCAAACGTTTTCTGTAAGTCTTCACAAGGTTTTCACACACTGTTGCTGGTATTTTGGCCCATTCCTTCATGCAGATCTCCTCTAAAGCAGTGATGTTTTGGGGCTGCCGCTGGGCAACACAGACTTTCAACTCCCTCCAAAGATTTTCTATGGGGTTGAGATCTGGAGACTGGCTAGGCCACTCCAGGACCTTGAAATGCTTCTTACGAAGCCACTCCTTCGTTGCCCGGGCGGTGTGTTTGGGATCATTGTCATGCTGAAAGACCCAGCCACGTTTTATCTTCAATGCCCTTGCTGATGGAAGGAGGTTTTCACTCAAAATCTCACGATACATGGCCCCATTCATTCTTTCCTTTACACGGATCAGTCGTCCTGGTCCCTTTGCAGAAAAACAGCCCCAAAGCATGATGTTTCCACCCCCATGCTTCACAGTAGGTATGGTGTTCTTTGGATGCAACTCAGCATTCTTTGTCCTCCAAACACGACGAGTTGAGTTTTTACCAAAAAGTTCTATTTTGGTTTCATCTGACCATTTGACATTCTCCCAATCCTCTTCTGGATCATCCAAATGCACTCTAGCAAACTTCAGACAGGCCTGGACATGTACTGGCTTAAGCAGGGGGACATGTCTGGCACTGCAGGATTTGAGTCCCTGGCGGCGTAGTGTGTTACTGATGGTAGGCTTTGTTACTTTGGTCCCAGCTCTCTGCAAGTCATTCACTAGGTCCCCCCGTGTGGTTCTGGGATTTTTGCTAACCATTCTTGTGATCATTTTGACCCCACGGGGTGAGATCTTGCGTGGAGCCCCAGATCGAGGGAGATTATCAGTGGTCTTGTATGTCTTCCATTTCCTAATAATTGCTCCCACAGTTGATTTCTTCAAACCAAGCTGCTTACCTATTGCAGATTCAGTCTTCCCAGCCTGGTGCAGGTCTACAATTTTGTTTCTGGTGTCCTTTGACAGCTCTTTGGTCTTGGCCATAGTGGAGTTTGGAGTGTGACTGTTTGAGGTTGTGGACAGGTGTATTTTATACTGATAACAAGTTCAAACAGGTGCCATTAATACAGGTAACAAGTGGAGGACAGAGGAGCCTCTTAAAGAAGAAGTTACAGGTCTGTGAAAGCCAGAAATCTTGCTTGTTTGTAGGTGACCAAATACTTATTTTCCACCATAATTTGCAAATAAATTCATAAAAAATCCTACAATGTGATTTTCTGGATTAGTTTTTCTCAATTTGTCTGTCATAGTTGACGTGTACCTATGATTAAAATTACAGGCCTCTCTCATCTTTTTAAGTGGGAGAACTTGCACAATTGGTTGCTGACTAAATACTTTTTTTCCCCACTGTATATATATATATATAGAATTATTGTAAAATAAACTCTGTCCATAAGGTGTAGATAGTAAGTATAGACCGGAAGTAGAGGCCTGGGCTTTGTTGTTCACTAATTTACTCCAAGTAGGGAAAGGATGGTGGGGTTGAAAAGTAATAAAGGGGAATATATATATAAAAAATAAACATGGGGGATTGGAAGTGATGCAGACAATTACATTGATAGAAGATACAATCTATCTGCAATATTAAGCTGATCCATTCCCCCTAAAAAAAAACAAAAAAAAAACAACAAAAAACAAAGCTATGCTACATGTTATCTCTGGGAACCTTAGGATGACAAATCAGAGCAAGACTACTGAATGGAAGTATATTATTTACCTTCAGAGGTGACTGTAACAAACCAGTTGCCGTGATACGTTTTTTGTTTATGTGCACTCTCCTCAAACAATGGCATGGTATTTTATCACTGTAATAGCTACTGTAAATTGGACAGTGCAGTTAGATTAACAAGAATTGAAGCTGTCTGCCCATATAAGACATGTCTATGTCCTGGAAACTTTGCTGTTACTTACAACAGTCATGCTAATCACATTAGCGCACATTAGCTCAACCGTCCCGTATACGGGACACCGATCCCGTAGAGGTTAAACTGATATACCTAACTAGCTAGTTGACTGCTGTGGCTAGCCAAAAATGACTTGTTTTGAAAGTTGTGTTATCTTATCCTTTTGAGGTTTAAAAAAAAGTTACTTTAAACATTTTCTTACACTATAATTTTGAACATTCAAAGCAACTGGGAAATGTCCATGGCAGGCATTGGCACCTTAGCTTGCTACATAACCACTGCACACATCCATCATTATTATGAGAACTAGCATAGGCATGTCAGCAAATGATTGCTCTCTGAACACACACACATCCGATTTGGTCACTTGCTGTTTGGACAGTCAGTATTCCAAAACAGATTTAAGCTTTAAGGCCTGCAGTGTGACCAAGGCTTAAATGATATGAAGTTGTCAATTCATAAATTATAAGCCAGTTTTCCTTTTAAAGTCCAATTTCAGTTCTGCATAACTCAATCTGTCAGTTTGTTTACCAGCAATGAGGCCATTTAAATCAGGCCTGCAGAGTGAACAAGGCTGCTTGCTCTAGCCAACTTCCAATGTTGGCTTTAGTTTGAAACGCAAATCTGAATAATAGAGACATTCTTTGCATATACTTTAGAGTTCCACTTGCTCTATAATCTCACTTCATACTTATTCTGCTGAGACCTGATGATCCTAATGCAACATTTGAGATGCAGTCTCCTCGCTGCAGAGAGACGTGCAGTATGATTGAGTACTACCGAAGTACGATGTTTGAGCTTTGTTTCTCTGTAAGAAGTCCAACAAGTAGTATCATGCCACACTAAGAAGCTAGGCACAAAACTGTCTTAAACTGGAGACAAGTTTTGCTATGTTGTGCTATACTGAACACGACCCTGAACTGAACTCATTTTCCTTTTTGCTTCTCTACTGACAGGTCAGTGTCAACTGTCCGAACCACAATCTCACACTGGATCCTTCCCCCACCCCAGCCCCGTCCCTTCAGGCTCTGTACCCAGAGTCGAAGACAGAGGAAAGGGTTAATAGCCGCCTCCCTGGATGACCTTCTAGACCAGGTAAATGCATCCTCCTGGGCTACGTTCAGCAGGACAACGTTGTGGAGCGTTCAGATATAAATATATATTTTGCGGAACAAACATACATCTGACATGTAGAATAAGAAATCACTTAGTTTGTGCATTAATCTTAAGACCGCTAAGTCGCTCTGGATAGGAGCGTCTGCTAAATGACTAAAATGTAAATGGCTATAGCTCAATTCATGTAATTTCTATCTGCAACATTTGCATACTGTTTGTGCCGCTGGGGTATTCACAATGCCTGACATTCAACATGTCAGTTTCTGAAGTATTCAGAGAGCCATTTCATGGGGATGGAAAATCAGTCTCTCTAACACGTACATCAATTATTTAGTGGGGGTGTGGTTGATGTAAGATGTCACGTAAAATAAAAAAAATAATGTCTATTTAGATGAGGATTGTGAGGTGGAACTTTCTGGTAATGATGTCATCAAGTCCAAGGACAGGTTACATTACCTTGTGAAGTTAATAGACACAAAATTGCAAGCACTGCTACTAGACAGACAACTCTGTAGCCAAATTTTCAACACATTTAATCCACCCCTTGTCTACTGACACTGTTAAGGTGATGCTGCTTGTTGCAATTGTTGAGTAACCTCACCCGAGAGACTTGGGGTCTGGAGTGGAGTGAAATGTTATAGAATGTTCAGATAGAAATGATATGTAGAACAAGTTGTTTCTCGGTCTTATAGAACAAGGAATCATGTCGGCTCTATACAAGACATTTCTATCTGTAGAATGTTTTACCCTCCTGAACGCAACCCAGTCTCATGTTGCGCAGATGGCCTACAGTATTTGTGATTCGCAATTGGATATACTTAGTATGGTTGATCCTCCAAGGATGGTCACACCTGGCATGTCATCCGTAAAACAGCCGTAAAAGCGCAGTTCTACACAAACACAAATGTTCAATGTTACAATTTTTTATTGAACGCATCGTTGTTGCCTACTTTTAGAATATTTGTTTTCCTTTTAAAAAAACAATTACAACAACTTTCATATCACATGATGAAAAGTGTGTGTGCTTTGATGCCGGTCCTCCCCAGACAGCAAGTGCCTTCCTGTTGACATGCCAGTTCCTCATCCTGGTTCTAGAGGAGGATGGGACAGTGGTGGACTCTGAGGCCTTCTTCCAGTCCCTGGCCGCCAACACTCCGGTCATGGTCCTGCAGAAGGGAGAGATGTGGACTCGGGTACGCACACACACAGTCAGAAGCCAAAACGTTTGTATGCTAGGCATACTGTTGCCTTTGAAAAAGCGTTAGAAGATCACTATCTGCTGCAACTTCAAATCAAGTGAGGGCTGGCCATTGCTTACTTCTCTGTTTTAGGACTGTGGCTTTTACAATTTAGTTAGGATTTTCGGATGTCATATGTTTATCAATTGTGGAGACTTGCTGTATTATCACACACCACAAGAGGGCCACACTGTCACATCAAACCAGGGATCTCTGTCTGGTTCCGGAGAGCTACTGTGTGTGCACAGCAGGCTTTTGTTCCAACCCAGCACTGACCCCTGACTCAAAGCAGCAAGGTCCAGACTGAGCACAATTATTTATTGGTGATTGTTCTTAGACCAGCACTTTTCTATTTCTGTCCTGGAGTGTCAAGACACTTCTCTTTTTTTTTCTTTTCAACTGTAAATTAACTGTAGTCCATTGCACTATCCAGGCTCCCGAGTGGCGCAGTGGTCTAAGGCACTGCATCTTAGTGCTTGAGGCGTCACTACAGACCCCCTGGTTCGATTCCAGGCTCTATCACAACTGGCCGTGAGTCCTATAGGGCGGCGCACAATTGGCCCAGTGTCGTCCGGGTTTGGCTGGTGTAGGCCGTCATTGTAAATAAGAATTTGTTCTTAACTGACTTGCCTAGTTAAATAAAATAAAAAATCATACAGTAACTTCAGAAAGTCTTCACACCCCTTGACTCTTTCCACATATTGTTACAGCCTGAATTTAAAATTAATTACATTTAGAATTTTGCCACTTATCTACACACAATACCTCATAATGTCAGAGTGGAACTACACTACCAGTCAAAAGTTTGGACACACCTACTCATTCAAGAGTTTTTCTTTATATTTACTATTTCTTACATGTGTAGAATAATAGTGAAGACATCAAACTATGAAATAACACACATGGAATCATGTAGTAACCAAAAAAGTGTTAAACAAATCAAAATATATTTGAAATTCTTCAAATAGCCACCCTTTGCCTTGATGACAGCTTTGCACACTCTTGGCATTCTCTCAACCAGCTTCACCTGGAATGCTTTTCCAACTGTCTTGAAGGAGTTCCCACAAATGCTAAGCACTTGTTGGCTGCTTTTCCTTCACTCTGCCGTCCGACTCATCCCAAACCATCTCCATTGGGTTGAGTTTGGGGGATTGTGGAGGCCAGGTCATCTGATGCAGCACCCCATCACTCTCCTTGGTAAAATAGCCCTTACACAGCCTGGAGGTGTGTTGGGTCATTGTCCTGTTGGAAAAACAAATGATAGTCCCACTAAGCCCAAACCAGATGGGATGGTGTATTGCTGCAGAATGCTGTAGTAGCTATTCTGGTTAAGTGTGCCTTGAATTCTAAATAAATCACAGACAGTGTCACCAGCAAAGCACACCATAACACCTCCATGCTTTAAGGTGGGAAATACACATGCGGAGATCATCCGTTCACCCACATCGCGTCTCACAAAGACACAGCGGTTGGAACCAAAAATCTCAAATTTGGACTCCTGACCAAAGGACACATTTCCACTGGTCAAATGTCCATTGGTCGTGTTTCTTGGCCCAAGCAGGTCTCTTCTTATTGGTGTCCTTTTAGTTTTTCTTGCAGCAATTCGACCATGAAGGCATGATTCACACAGTCCCCTCTGAACAGTTGATGTTGAGTTGTCTGTGACTTGAACTCTGTGTAGCATTTATTTGGGCTGCAATTTCTGAGGCTGGTAACTCTGATTCAACGTTTTAACTTTTGTTTTGGTTACTACATGATTCCATGTGTTATTTCATTGTTTTGATATCTTCACTGTTATTCTACAATGTAGAAAATAGTACAAATAAAGAAAAACCCTTGAATGAGGAGTTGTCAACTTTTGACTGGTACTGTATGCTTTTAGACAAATTAATTAAATGAAAAGCTGAAATGTCTTTAGTCAAGTCTTCAACCATTTTTGTTATGGCAAGCCTAAATAAGTTCAGGAGTAAAAATTTGCTAAACCAGTCGCATAATAAGTTGCATGGACTCACTGTGCAATAACGGCATTTTTAAATGACCACCCCATCTCTTGTACTCCACACATATTATCTGTAAGGTCCCTCAGTCGAGCAGTGAATTTCGAGCACAGATTCAAACACACAGACCAGGAAGGTTTTCCAAGGTTCACAAAGAAGTGCACCAGACATTGAATATCCCTTCGAGCATGGTGCAGTTATTAATTACACTTTGGATGGTGCTTCAATACAACCAGTCACTACAAAGATACAGGCGTCCTTCCTAACTCAGTTGCCGGAGAGGAAGGAAACTGCTCAGGGATTTCACCATGAGGCAAATGGTGACTTTAAAACAGTTTAATGGCTGTGATGGGAGATAACTGAGGATGGATCAACAACATTGTAGTTAATTCACAATACTAACCTAAATGACAGTGAAAAGGAAGCCTGTACAGAATAAAAATATTCCAAAACATGCATGCTGTTTGCAATGAGGCACTAAAGTAATACTGCAAAACATGTGGCAAAGAAATTTACTTTTTGTCCTGAATACAAAGCGTTTTGTTTAGAGAAAATCCAACATCACTGAGTACCACTCTTCATCTTTTTCAAGCATGGTGGTGGCTGCATTATGTTATTGTTATGCTTGTAATTGGCAAAGACTAGGGAGTTAATTTTTGGACAGAAAGAAACCGAACGTTGTTTTAGAGAATTTAGCAGTATCTCCAACTGTGGTTTGCTGATGTCAATGTTGTGAACAGAGTACACCATGGTGGCGGTGGGGATATGGTATGGGCAGACATAAGCTACGAACACAATTGCATTTTATCTATGGAAATTTGAATTCACAGAAATACCGTGACGAGATCCTGAGGGCCATTTCTTTTAAGGTATCTGTGACCAACAAATGCAAGTCGGTATTCCCAGTCGTGAAATCCATAGATTAGGGCCTAATGAATTCATTTCAATTGACTGATTTCCTCATGAACTGTAACATCTTTGAAATTGTTGCGTTTTTGTTCAGTATACATTTGAGTTGCTTACCAAGACAACGTTGAATGTTCCTGAGTGGCCGAGTTAGTTTTGATTTTAAATCGGCTTGAAAATCTATGGCAAGACTTGAACATGGCTGTCTAGCAATGCTCAACAACCAATTTGACAGAGCTTGAAGAATTTCTAAAAGAATGGGCAAATATTGTACAATCCAGGTATGCGAAGATCTTAGATTTACCCAGAAACTCACAGCTGTAATCGCTGCCAAAGGTGATGCTAACATGTATTGACTCAGGGGGTTCAAGACTTATTAGTGTTTTATAGATTCTGTGTTTTTTTGCCACTGACAGTATTTTGCGTGATTGACAAATCAATTTTAATCCCACTTTGTAACACAACAAAATATGGAAAAAGTCAAGGTGTGAATACTTTCTGCAGGCACTGTCTAAATCATGCCTTGATTAGAGGGAAGAATGAACCATAAGTGTAACTCACCTAGAGGGCCAGATTTTAATAGCCCTGTCTTAGACTGACCTTTGTCCATTCTTGTACAGGTCCTCCCAAGTTCCATCCAGCCCAGGAGAAATGGAATCTGTAAATTGGTTTTTGACCTGTACAAGTTGAACCCCAAGGACTTCATCGGGTGTCTAACCATCAAAGTGTCTCTTTATGAAATCTACACACTGTCATACGACTTCCAATGCACCAGGGCCAAGATTATCTTGAAGTGAGTACATTACTACTACACCATCTCTCGAGGGGAAATTAATGGGGGCTGGGTTTTTAAATGTCAGGTGAAGTAGACTGATTTACGTTTCTATAGGCACTGGTCAAAATGTTCAATATTTTTGCAGAGAAATATACAGTGAGGGGGAAAAAGGATTTGATCCCCTGCTGATTTTGTACGTTTGCCCATGACAAAGAAATGATCAGTCTATAATTTTAATGGTAGGTTTATTTGAACAGTGAGAGACAGAATAACAACAAAAAAATCCAGAAAAAGTCATGTAAAAAATGTTATAAATTGATTTGCATTTTAATGAGGGAAATAAGTGTTTGACCCTGCTGCAAAACATGACTTAGTACTTGGTGGCAAAACCCTTGTTGGCAATCACAGAAGTCAGATGTTTCTTGTAGTTGGCCACCAGGTTTGCACACATCTCAGGAGGGATTTTGTTCCACTCCTCTTTGCAGATCTTCTCCAAGTCATTAAGGTGTCGAGGCTGACGTTTGGCAACTCGAACCTTCAGCTCCCTCCACTGATTTTCTATGGGATTAAGGCCTGGAGACTGGCTAGGCCACTCCAGGACCTTAATGTGCTTCTTCTTGAGCCACTCCTTTGTTGCCTTGGCTGTGTGTTTTGGGTCATTGTCATGCTGGAATACCCATCCACGACCCATTTTCAATGCCCTGGCTGAGGGAAGGAGGTTCTCACCCAAGATTTGATGGTACATGGCCCCGTCCCTTTGATGCGGTGAAGTTGTCCTGTCCCCTTAGCAGAAAAACACCCTCAAAGCATAATGTTTCCACCTCCATGTTTGATGGTGTTCTTGGGGTCATAGGCAGCATTCCTCCTCCAAACACGGCGAGTTGACTTGATGCCAAAGAGCTCCATTTTGGTCTCATCTGACCACAACCCTTTCACCCAGTTCTCCTCTGAATCATTCAGATGTTCATTGGCAAACTTCAGACGGCCCTGTATATGTGCTTTCTTGAGCAGGGGGACCTTGCAGGCGCTGCAGGATTTCAGTTCTTCACGGCGTAGTGTGTTACCAATTGTTTTCTTGGTGACTATGGTCTCAGCTGCCTTGAGATCATTGACAAGATCCTCCCGTGTAGTTCTGGGCTGATTCCTCACCATGATCATTGCAACTCCACGAGGTGAGATCTTGCATGGAGCCCCAGGCCGAGGGAGATTGACAGTTCTTTTGTGTTTCTTCCATTTGCGAATAATCGCATCAACTGTTGTCACCTTCTCACCAAGCTGCTTGGCGATGGTCTTGTAGCCCATTCCAGCCTTGTGTAGGTCTACAATCTTGTCCCTGACATCATTGGAGAGCTCTTTGGTCTAGGCCATGGTGGAGAGTTTGGAATCTGATTGATTGCTTCTGTGGACAGGTGTCTTTTTTTTTATACAGGTAACAAGTCGAGATTAGGAGCACTCCCTTTAAGAGTGTGCTCCTAATCTCAGCTCATTACCTGTATAAAAAACACCTGGGAGCCAGAAATCTTTCTGATTGAGAGGGGGTCATACATACTTCCATCATTAAAATGCAAATCGATGTATAACATTTTTGACATGCGTTTTTCTGGATTTTTTTGTTATTCTGTCTCTCTGTTCAAATAAACCTACCATTAAAATTATAGACTGATCATTTCTTTGTCAGTGGGCAAATGTACTAAATCAGCAGGGGATCAAATACTTTTTTCCCTCACTGTACAATGTCGGCAGGTCATTGGGTCCTCTTGTGTTTTTGTTTGTTTATTCCCACTGGGCACAGATGTCAGTTAAACGTCTAGTTTTGATTTACATTTAATGGAGTTGGCAACTTATGTGAATTCAAAGTGAAACCAACAAGAAATTGAACCATGTCATTGGACTAATGTTAAAATATAAATATATATATATTTTTTTTTTTTTTTGCCAATTTTCTACGTCATCAGATGGGACCATTTTTGGTGTTTAAATGACATGGAAACAATGTTTATTCTACCAGTTTGTGTCGTGTTGGTTGGCTGCAAGGATCTCTTGAGATTCCACTTGTTTTTTAACGTGAACAAGTTGTGGCTTACAAATGGGTCTTCACTGAACAAGTTCTGAGATATCAGAATATGTGCTTTGACTGCTTCAGGAAGTTTTCAGCTCTCCCTTTTCACATTCTCTTTAGATCTCTTCTGCGTTGTCTGACATATGTGGCGAGGGTGGCGGGGCAGCTGCTTCTGTGTGGTTCCTCATACATACTGCAGTACATTGGGGATGACGACTACAAGGGCATGACCAAAGTCCAAGGCCCTGTTTTGAGCGCTTTAAAATGCACCAGGTGACAAGTGTCCAGGGCCTCTTGAATGCCATTTGTCTCACTAAGAAATGGGGAAAATTCCTTCATGAGATGCATGTAGGCCTTGTTACGGGCTGGTTTAGTTGAGCCATTGCAAATGTATGTAAAACAATGTTGATGAAACACATCAAATAAAAGCACTGCCCTGCTGGAGGAGGATGTAAATACAATATATGCACATTTCTACTACGGGCAACAACCCAACTTGCATTAATCTCTAGTTGGGATTTGGCCCACATGGTGATTTTTTTATTTTTTTAAAGTTGAAAAACAAAATAAAAAATCTGGTTGGCCTCTGTAGCAAAAGATCAATGTTCTTAAACTAGCCCTTGAAATCTGGATGGCTTCATTGTGTCATTGTATGTTTTTAAACCGTGGGGGTTCGGGTGAGAAGCATGCCTGACATGTTGCTTGGATTGACTTGATATTGTCTGTTTTAGTGGTTCCATTCCCCATTAGAAGAATGGCAATCTACTAGGCTGAATCTCAAGTCTTTCCTTGATTCCTCGCATCTTCTAAAATCGCATTGGAGGAGAAGATCACCTCAGATATTGTCCTCAATGAATTTTGAGGAATTGAGGGAAGACTATGGCCCAACGCTAGGTAGCCTAGCATTGGGCCAGTAACCGAAAGGTCGATGGTTCGAATCCTTCAGCTGACTATCTGTCAATGTGCCCTTGAGCAAGGATCTAATTCCTCCTGTAAGTCGCTCTGGATAAGAGTGTCTGCTGAATGACTAAAATGTAAAATGGGGTTTACTCCAGGACTAATTGAAAGCCCAACTGTCTGTGACTGCAAGTATAAAAAAAGTTCCATTTGGAAGCACTCTGAAATTAAAATGTCACTGAATATTTGCCCTGTCTGTCAAATCTATAAATAAAGGTTTTTGTAAAAAGTATCAGATCTGACTTGGTGCAAGCGAATAGTTCTTTGTCAACATGATTGTATATTATTTTATGTGGGCTATTGTAAAATACATAGACATTGGGGATCCCACGCTTCAGTCAAAGGGCCTAGCTGCAGTCATTTTGCCGACTGCCATGATTTCCTTTGTCAGCCTTAAGCTCTTTTAAATCCATTGCGCTGTGTGCTAGTGATGGGTGGTCAGACATGGCACAGTACATTTCCTCTAATTCATTAATTCTGCTGGGTAACCACAGTGACACTTACATATCCTTCACCAGAGCAATAGACATACACATTTCTGTAAACAGGCATTTCGAATCTTTATGGGTGCAATCAGACTACTCGTGGACACTATTCCCAATAAATGACTGATCAATCCTGTTTGTTCTACATGGTACAATTCTATCTGAATGTTGTGTATTGTTGCACCCTCCTGTACCAAGGCCTTTGGTTCCTTTATGGGCAGTCCAAAATTAGCAGTGTGAAAGCCAGTCCTGATATCCTCAATTGGGTAATTTGATCCTTTTGTCTTGACACCTGCAGGAATGTCATCTATTCATGGGAGCAGTCAGGGGAATTAACGATAATAGGCTACATTCTGGGTTGTGTTCATAAGGGGACGCCGTAACAAATGGCATAAAATGGACAAAGACTACCAAGACTAGCTTGTAGAGAAGCATTAATATGACCCATCTAGTCCCCCTGTTTCAGTCTGTGCGTCGTCACTCATGTACTTCCTTCGTGTGATGGATGTTTTGTCACACCCTATAAGGTACCTCCATTGTACTTTTTGCAGTTTGTACCTTTTTTTTTTTTTTTAGGGTACCAACACAGTGACAAAGATGTTTGTTCCTTTCAAGTGGCAAATATTAACCTAAGTCCCCCTTCAGAGGGTAGCCCCAACTGTGACTCGAAACCTGGGTCCAGCGGCTGTCAAGCCAACACCTTAACCATTACACCAAGAGGTCTGTACTTGACTAGGTTGCTTAGTGTTGGGTTAAGCTCGCTACAATATTGTCTATAGTGTCACATGCTCTTATGTAAGTCTATATAAAGACTTCAGAACTGGCAGCGGACATGCACAAACTTGTAATATAACAATAGACCACTTAAACTGGTACAACACTTCCACTCACGGGTGGCCAACAATAACTAATTGAAAGCCACACCCCCAATGATTGTACCTTTTTTAGATTCAAAATAATGGGTACAAAAATGTACCATTACTAGATTATCCGCACATTTACCCTAAAAGGTACCGAACAGTACCATGTGAAATCATGTGTACCTCTGAAAGTACATTGTGTATTTTTATATTATTGTACCCCAGGGAACAATACTGTACCCTAACGGTAGCCTTTTCTTCTGAGATTAGTGTGAGCTCAACTTCTAACTTTAACACTTGAAATGGTGCAAAGCCCAGGCTACTCTTTAATTATTCAACAATGATTTAATAGCCTACATTTGCATCATAAGTCACAACCGAATTGAATTCGATACATTATTTCAACAAACTAAGCCTGATAAGATACTTCTCTTGTGAAAACTGAGATGGGATGGAAGATAACGGTTCACTACTTTATTGCACAGCTGGGGTGTCATTCACTTGTCCCAGCCCTACTGGGCGTGGAAGATCGGCAGAGGAGAACAGGAATTTAGAGCGCCTGCTAATCAGTTGAGTTTAACCAGGCTGCATGCACACTCTCGCTGCCAAGACACCCTTGCACACAGACAGAATGAGAGAAATTGTTCACATTCAAGCCGGACAATGTGGGAATCAGATTGGCACCAAGGCAAGTAGAGACCTTTTGAACTGAATGGCTTTTTCATTTTAATTAACAACACATTCCATGTTTTGTGGAGATTTTTTTTTTTTTTAATGGATTTTGTGTTCAATTTTTACTGGAGCCAATGCTTTTTCAATGGGAGTCATCCGTTGCCAGATTTATGACAACGGATGACTAACGAATGGTCCATTTTTTAACTCTGAGAATACCGTGTGTGGCCTTAGCCTAAATGTTTAGAAGCTGATGTGACAAATTCATGCTTTAGGTCATAGGCTACGACGTAGGCCTTTTGAAAATATCAATTGGCATCGCTTAATTACAATTCTATTAAGCCTATAATAAACTTCATAACGGTCACTAGAGTGCAGCCAGGGAGTGGCATGAAATCCGCGCTGTGCGTGTCTATCCGTTTCAGCAGCTGAGCGTGCTGAAGTCATCAAATAAGACCGAAAGATGCACAATGTCCGATCGTTTTTTCATGATGTCTTGATAACTTTTGGAGATTTAACTGTATTCTTTTTTCCTCCAATGTTGATAACTGGACAGTTTTGGGAAGTTATCAGTGATGAACACGGCATCGATCCGGCAGGAAACTATGTGGGTGACTCATCGCTTCAAATCGACAGGATTAATGTGTACTACAACGAAGCCTCCTGTAAGTGTGTCTGTGGTTGAATGAATCATCATGCTTACAAGTTGTTCCAAATTTCTGAAGGCATAGAGAATTTAACATAAGCACACTCATGGGCTACTACAGGGTCCTTACTTCTGGTGCTTTGACAAATTGCCATAACCCTTTTGCCACCCCTTTGCTGCAACTTGAACTCAGGGGTAGATGTAACATTGTAAATGTAAATCCGGGAAACTCCAATTAAACTTAACAAAAATAAACACAACATGCAACAATTTCAAAGATTTTACTGAGTTACAGTTCATATAAGGAAATCAGTAAATGGAAATGAATTCATTAGGTACTAATCTATGGATTTCACATGACTGGGAATACAGGATTTGTGTACAGATCCTTGCAACATGGGGCCGTGCATTATCATGCTGGAACCTAAGGTGATGGCGGCGGATGAATGGCACGAAAATGGGGGGGGTTCTAAATATGGAATTATTTTAAGATGGATCATTTAGCTATTGGATTTTAGTACCCCTTTAGGTCCCCAAAAATTATTTGATATAATATTGAATTTGGCCTTTACTACTATAGCCCAGAGAAATGTTTTGTATAACGCATAAATGGGGAAAAAATACAGTAAAAAAATCTATCATTAGAAATAAGGTTTTAAAGTGTCTGTCCTATATCTAGGAGATATAAGAAAGCTCTGGAAATATGCAGTGCATTCGGAAAGTATTCAGACCCATTGATTTTTTTTTCCACATTTTATGTTACAGCCTTATTCTAAAATTGATTTTATTTTTGTGTGCACATTTATAAAAAATAAAAAACTGATATTACATTTACATAAGTATTCAGACCCTTTACTTAGTACTTTGTTGAAGCACCTTTGTCAGTGATTACAGCCTTGAGTCGTCTTGAGTATGACGCTACAAGCTTGGCACACCTGTATTTGGGAAGTTTCTCCCATTCTTCTATGCAGATCCTCTCAAGCTCTGCCAGGTTGGAAGGTGAGCATCGCTGCACAGCTATTTTCAGGTCTCTCCAGAGATGTTAGATCGTGTTCCAGTCTGGGCTCTGGCTGGGCCACTCAATGACATTCAGAGACTTGTCCTGAAGCCATCTTTCGCTCGACCCTGACTAGTCTCCCAGTCCCTACTGCTGAAAAACATCCCCACAGCATGATGCTGCCACCACCATGCTTCACCGTAGGGATGGTGCCAGGTTTCCTCCAGACGTGACGCTTGGCATTCAGGCCAAAGAGTTCAATCTTGGTTTCATCAGACCAGAAAATCTTGTTTCTCATGGTCTGAGAGTCTTTAGGTGCCTTTTGGCAAACTCCAAGCGGGCTGTCATGTGCCTTTTACTGAAGAGTGGCTTCCATCTGGCCATGCTACCATAAAGGCCTGATTGGTGCAGTGCTGCAGAAATGGTTGTCCTTCTGGAAGGTTCTCCCATCTCCACAGAGGAACTCTGGAGCTCTGTCAGTGACCATCGGGTTCTTGGTCACCTCCCTGACCAAGGCCCTTCTCCCCCGATTGCTCAGTTTGGCCGGGCGGCCAGCTCTAGGAAGAGGCTTGGTGGTTCCAAACTTCCTCCATTAAAGAATGATGGAGGCCACTGTGTTCTTGGGGAACTTCAATGCTGCAGAAATTTTTTTGGTACCCTTCCCCAGATCTGTGCCTCGACACGATCCTGTCTCGGAGCTCTACGGACAATTCCTTCGACCTCATGGCTTGGTTTTTGCTCTGACATGCACTGTCAACTGTGGGACATTATATAGACAGGTGTGTGCCTTTCCAAATCATGTCTAATCAATTGAATTTACCACAGGTGGACTCCAATCAAGTTGTAGCAACATCTCAAGGATGATCAATGGAAACATGATTAACCTGATCTCAATTTCGAGTGTCATAGCAAAGGGTCTGAATCCTTATGTAAATAAGGTATTTCTTTTTTATTTTTATTTTTTATAAATAAGCAAACATTTCTAAAAACCTGTTTTCGCTTTTTCATTATGGGGTATTGTGTGTAGATTGAGGAACATTTTATATTTAATAAATTTTAGAATAAGGCTGTAACGTAACTAAATGTGGAAAAATGGAAGGGGTCTGAATACTTTCCGAAAGCAGTGTGTGTGTGTATATACAGCTCTGGAAAAAATTAAGAGACCACTGCACATTTTTCTTAAATCAGCATCTCTACATGTATGACAGCCATTCCACTGCAGTGTCTGTTGAATTCCAACACAGGCACACCTCATTCTACTGAATTAGGTACTGATTAGAAGATCACCTGAACCAAATCTTATTTAAAGAGGAAAAGTATAAAAACCACTGCTGTGGTCGTCGCTATCCTCTTGCAATAGGACCAGCTGGATGGCAAAAACAGTGCTAATAGTACCTCAAAAGTAATATTAATAAAAAATAACTATTGACCATGCCAAAAGAGTTGAAAAGGAAAGTTTTGAGTGAGGAAAATAAGGGTTCAATTCTGGCTTTACCGGCAGAAGGATACAGTGAGCGTCAGGTTACTTCCATCCTTAACATTTCAATGACGGCGGGTTCATAAGAACAAGTTCAAGCAGCAGACATTAAGGATAACAACGCTACAGACCGACAGAGGGCGAAAACGACTCTCTACTGACCGGGATGACCGCCAACTCATTCGAATGTCACACAACAACCGTAGGATGACATCAAGTGACCTACAAAAAGAATGGCAAACGGCAGCTGGGTTGAAGTGCACGGCGAGGACGGTTCGAAACAGGCTCCTAGGGGCAGGGCTGAAGTCGTGCAAAGCTAGAAAAAAGCCCTTCATCAATGAGAAGTAAAGAAGAGCCAGGCTGAGGTTTGCAAAAGACCATAAGGATTGGACCGTAGAGGACTGGAGTAAGGTCATCTTCTCTGATGAGTCCAATTTCCAGCTTTGCCCAACACCTGGTCGTCTAATGGTTAGACGGAGACCTGGAGAGGCCTACAAGTCACAGTGTCTCGCACCCTCTGTGAAATTTGGTGGAGGATCGGTGCTGATCTGGGGGTGCTTCAGCAAGGCTGGAATCGGGCAGATTTATCTTTGTGAAGGACGCATGAATCAAGCCACGTTACAAGGTTGTCCTGGAAGAAAACTTGCTTCCTTTTGCTCTGACATTGTTCCCCAACTCTGAGGATTGGTTTTTCCAGCAGGACAATGCTCCATGCCACACAGCCAGGTCAATCAAGGTGTGGATGGAGGACCACCAGATCAAGACCCTGTCATGGCCAGCCCAATCTCCAGACCTGAATCCCATTGAAAACTTCTGGAATGTGATCAAGAGGAAGATGGATGGTCACAAGCCATCAAACAAAGCCGAGCTGCTTGAATTTTTGCGCCAGGAGTGGCATAAAGTCACCCAACATCAATGTGAAAGACTGGTGGAGAGCATGCCAAGACACATGAAAGCTGTGATTGAAAATCAGGGTTATTCCACCAAATATTGATTTCTGAACTCTTCCTAAGTTAAAACATTACTATTGTGTTGCTTAAAAATTAACATGAACTTCTTTGCATTATTCGAGGTCTGACAACACTGCATCTTTTTTGTTATTTTGACCAGTTGTCATTTTCTGCAAATAAATGACAATATTTTTATTTGGAATTTGGGAGAAATGTTGTCAGTAGTTTATAGAATAAAACAAAAATGTTATTTTTTTCCCAAACACATACCTATAAATAGTAAAACCAGAGAAACTGATAATTTTGCAGTGGTCTCTTAATTATTTCCAGAGCTGTATATATAATTTTGTTTTACACATTTAACCCCTTTTTTTGGGTAGGCACAAAACTACTTTTTTTTTTTTTTAACCTTCAGACGAGTCCCGTGACACTTGTGGGGTCCCCTTTCCACAGTGGGGTGACATTAGTTTGTTGCCCAAACTTTTTCGGACGTTACAAACAGAAGTTGGCACATCGACGGGACCGACGTCAGACGAGTCTCCTGACACCTGTGGGGGTTGTAGAGTAAAGCCGTTTCTTATGCTACAGACGCTACATTTTCATGAGAAGAATGATTTTTGGGACGTCTCATGGTCTGACAAACACCGCTCTAGCTCTGCCACCTTTCACCGCCGATGCGGAAGTGCGACATAGGAGGATGCGGTGGATTGAGACGCATCCAATGCAAAAAAACATATCTCTAGCTTTTTTTAATTATGTTACTTAGATTGACGCACCGGGGTTAACCTTCTGTCTAATGTAAACATACTAAACGTAACATATCATACTAATTTGAGTGTCCCGGAATTACATTTACTATGTTAAGTCTAGTCTATGAGACCAGGCTTTTTATATAGCATGATGTGCACACATTATTTCTGAAGCATCTATATACACCTTTTAAATAAAGGCCTTTATAAAGGATGAATATTTAATTCAGACTTCAAAGTTAGTATTAGTTAGGACTGGCATATTCAATGTGAGTGAAGATGGCAGGCCGCAATGAAAAGGAAAATATTATTATGTTGTTGGCAATTCCTTAAGGTCTAAATAAGGAATGTGTTATAGGTAATAGGCATACCTGACGAAGTCTTGCTTGTGAAACATAGCCTACTGTACAATACCATACATTCAGATACATTTTAAATGTATTCCAATCTGTATAGGTGTCTGGTTGTCTTTTTTGCAGCACACAAGTATGTTCCCAGAGCAGTCCTTGTGGACCTGGAACCTGGGACCATGGACAGTGTCCGGTCGGGGGCCTTTGGACAGCTATTCAGACCTGACAACTTTATCTTCGGTAAGTGGACACTGTAACACTTTACCTTAAAAAACAGGGAGGGACTACCTAGGTTTGTCCAATATCATTTAAAAAAGTTTTCCATTGCATGACCTAATGAACACTGGGATGGATCAAGTGTGGCGGTCCCAGCAGAAGTTGTCAGGAGATTGCCTCCCGAGTGGCGCAGCGGTCTAAGGCACTGCATCGCAGTGCTAGAGGCGTCACTACATATCCGGGTTCGACATGGCCTCACAGTCATTTTCCTTTTCTTTAGCAGCTACGGGGAGACAATGGAAAACTATTTGACAGAACATGTAGCTTGTACAAATGCCAGACTCAACCTACATTCTTGCCTAAATGTTTTGGACATTTGTTTAATCAACTTTTCAGGGTTTTCACGTGGACTGTCCCACCCAGGACTTGAGCCTAAGAATCTCACCTCACACACACCCTGTACTGACCCCACATTTCTCTTGGCCTAGACTGGATGATAAATGGCTCACAATTAGCTTGTGTGTGTTGGGGTAGTGGGGGGTGGATTTGGGGTTACTGGAGGGATGGGGTGTAGGATTTAACTGACCATTTTCATCCCTTTTTGTTTTTGCTGCCCTTGCAGGGCAGACAGGTGCGGGGAACAACTGGGCCAAGGGCCACTACACTGAGGGAGCAGAGCTGGTAGACTCTGTGCTGGATGTGGTGAGGAAGGAGTGTGAGAACTGCGATTGTCTCCAGGGCTTCCAGCTCACCCACTCCCTGGGTGGGGGCACGGGCTCGGGCATGGGCACCCTGCTCATCAGCAAGATCCGCGAGGAGTACCCCGACCGCATCATGAACACGTTCAGCGTCATGCCCTCGCCCAAGGTGTCTGATACGGTGGTCGAACCGTACAACGCCACGCTCTCTGTGCACCAGCTGGTGGAGAACACTGATGAGACATACTGCATTGACAACGAGGCGCTCTATGACATCTGCTTCCGTACCCTGAAACTGACCACTCCCACTTACGGAGACCTCAACCACCTGGTGTCGGCCACCATGAGCGGTGTGACCACCTCACTGCGCTTCCCTGGACAGCTCAACGCAGACCTTCGCAAACTGGCCGTCAACATGGTGCCCTTCCCCCGCCTGCATTTCTTCATGCCTGGCTTTGCACCACTAACCGCCCGGGGGAGCCAACAGTACCGCGCCCTGACAGTGCCCGAACTCACCCAGCAGATGTTTGACGCCCGCAACATGATGGCGGCGTGCGACCCGCGCCACGGCCGCTACCTCACCGTGGCCACTGTATTCCGAGGGCCCATGTCCATGAAGGAGGTTGACGAGCAGATGCTGGCCATCCAGAATAAGAACAGCAGCTACTTCGTGGAGTGGATCCCCAACAATGTCAAGGTGGCTGTGTGTGACATTGCGCCCCGTGGCCTTAAGATGGCCTCCACGTTCATCGGCAACAGCACGGCCATCCAGGAGCTGTTTAAGCGCATCTCGGAGCAGTTCTCAGCCATGTTCCGCCGCAAGGCCTTCCTGCACTGGTTCACCGGGGAGGGCATGGACGAGATGGAGTTCACAGAGGCCGAGAGCAACATGAATGACCTGGTGTCTGAGTACCAGCAGTACCAGGAGGCCACGGCCAATGACGGGGAAGAGACATTCGACGACGAAGAAGAAGAGCTCAATGAGTGAGGATAATGTTGCCTGTTTGTAAAAAAAATAACGTTTTGTTTTTACTTGTGTTTTGATGTGTACTGTTTTGAAACTTTTATGTCCAGAGGTCTCGGAAGCAGTGGTGGAAATAAAACATTTTTAAAGGCTTTGAATGTGTTGTATGTTAAGTTTTCGTCTAGTAGAGTTTTGCACTGTGTGATATGTTGTGTATAGGGTCGTTCCATTTGATTTCAATCACTTTTTGACTGCACCCCTTTTGATTTGAACGAAACTTTCTATACATATTTGCCAATGGTGGAAGTGGTCAGAAAGTAACTTTTTGGACCTGAATGACAAAACATTTAGGGGATAGATGTGCTCAAAGTTTACCTGTTTTGCATACCTCACCGTAACATGAGACATCAATTTCTTCATCTCTGGAAAAGATAAATGGTTGAGTTTGATATCATTTAAAAGCTTTTCTAACAATGTTATAATTTCTTGAAAAAATACAAAATAAATAGTAATTGTCATTATTTAAACTTTAACGTAAATTATCTAAAAACGCGTAAACTCTTATTTTTTTCGTTTTCACTTACACTACCGGTCAAAAGTTTTAAAACACCTATTCATTCAAGGTTTTTCTTTATTTTTACTATTTTCTACATTGTAGAATAATAATGAAGACATCAAAACTATGAAATAACACATGTAATCATGTAGTAACCAAAAAGTGTTAAACAAATCAAAATATATTTGAGATTCTTCAAATAGCCACCCTTTGCTTTGATGACAGCTTTGCACACTCTTGGCATTCTCTCAACCAGCTTCACCTGGAATGCTTTTCCTTGAAGGAGTTCCCACATATGCTGAGCACTTGTTGGCTGCTTTTCCTTCACTCTGCGCTCCGACTCATCCCAAACCATCTCAATTTGGTTGAGGTCGGGGATTGTGGAGGCCAGGTCATCTGATGCAGCACTCCATCACTCTCCTTCTTGGTAAAATTGCCCTTACACAGCCTGGAGGTGTGTTGGGTCATTGTCCTGTTGAAAAACAAATGATAGTCCCACTAAGCCCAAACCAGATGGGATGGCGTATCGCTGCAGAATGCTGTGGAATGCCTTGAATTCTAAATAAATCACAGTGTCACCAGCAAAGCACCCCCACACCATAACACCTCCTCCTCCATGCTTTAGCTTTACGGTGGGAAATACACATACAGAGATCATCCGTTTACCCACACCACGTCTCACAAAGCCACGGCGGTTGGAACCAAAAATCTCAATTTTGGACTCCAGACGAAAGGACAAATTTCCACTGGTCTAATGTCCATTGCTCGTGTTTCTTGGCCCAAGCAAGCTTCTTCTTCTTATTGGTGTCCTTTTAGTAGTGGTGTTTATTTGCAGCAATTCGACCATGAAGGCCTGATTCACACAGTCTCCGCTGAACAGTTGATGATGAGATGTGTCTGTTACTTATTTGGGCTGCAATTTCTGAGGCTGGTAACGCTAATTAACTTATCCTCTGCAGCAGAGGTAACTCTGGGTCTTCCATTCCTGTGGCGGTCCTCATTCCTGTGGCGGCCAGTTTCATCATAGCGCTTGATGGTTTTTGCGACTGCACTTGAAGAAACTTTCCGTATTGCTGACCTTCGTCTTAAAGTAATGATGTACTGTCGTTTCTCTTTGCTTATTTGAGCTGTCTTGCCATAATATGGACTTGGTCTTTTACCAAATAGGGCTATCTTCTGTATACCCCCCCTACCTTGTCACAGCACAACTGACTGGCTCAAACGCATTAAGAAGGAAATTAATTCCACAAATTACACACCTGTTAATTGAAATGCATTCCAGGTGACTACCTCGTGAAGCTGGTTGAGAGAATGCCAAGAGTGTGCAAAGCTGTCATCAAGGCAAAGGGTGGCTATTTGAAGAATCTCAAATCTCTAATATATTTTGATTTGTTTAACACTTATTTGGTTACTACATGATTCCATATGTGTTATTTCATAGTTTTGATGTCTTCACTATTATTCTACAATGTATAAAAAAGTAAAAATAAAGAAAAACCCTTGAATGAGTAGGTGTTTTAAAACTTTTGACCGGTAGTGTATGTTGTAGCTTAGACCGTATTTTACATCATCAGAGGGTTTTCATGTTGGGTGTCATGTTTTGGCTGATAAATGGGAATAACATTTCAACTTTAAAATGGTAGCACAATGACGATTGGAGGTCACCACATCAGAAAATGTTGAATGAATGGGAATATCATTTGTTTGAAATTATAGTTTCAATCTTCAATAGGAAACCTATTGAAATCATAGAAATATAGTTAATAGAATAGATATTCCCATTTCAGTTGACATTCAACAATGGTGGGTTGACCGGCGGTCATCTTTGTGGTAGTAATTGGAAGTTAATATTTCAATTACATTTCCATTTAAATGATGTATCAGCTAAATTGCAGTGGTCTGAAGGGATATGTCCATTTTATGAATTATATTTGTATGATTGAAATGACCCACCCTGTCTTCAAGAGTATGCTGTGTCTTTTACACATTTTTAGATAATTTACGTTAAAGTTAAATAATAACAAATAAAAATAATAATATAACCCGTTTTTTAAGCTTTTAAATTATATAAAACTTAACCGTTTAACTGTTCAAGTGATGAAGACATGGATGTCTCATGGTAGGGTGGGGTATGCAAAACAGGTCAACTTTGAGCACATCTTTCCCCTAATAGTTTTTGCATTCTGGTCCAAAAAGTCACTTTCTGACCACTTCTACCATGGGAAAATATGTATAGATGGTTTTGTTCAAATCCAAAGGGGTGCGGTCAAAAAGTGTTCGAAATCAAATGGAACGACCCTATATTCAAATACTTTTCTCAATTCAAGTTGGTCAGTTGTGGGCATGACATGTTTGATGGTTGATGTGTATTTGATTAGTACATTGGGAGTCTGATTTGCTAAGCTTCTGCTCTAGTCTGGTGCAAAGCGAATGGAAGACAAAGCCAAAACATGAAACTGTCTTGATGAGCTTTTCCTTATTCATCTCTTAATCTTTATTTTACCTTAAACTTTTTATGTTTTATACCCTTTAGAATACCTTTAGAATATAACTTGTTCTATTGGTCTCGATCATAAAAGAAGTGTCAAGCCTTAAGGGACTTCCTGGATGAATAAAGAACAACACTGGTGTAAATGCTTAGTAGATATAACTCCAGGCACTCTATGGTATGGACAATACAGAAAAGTACACTGTCAATAGCTTGCTAATCGTTCTCCCTCCATTGTGTTTAGAACTTGATTTCCTAGCAGTTCTATTTAGGGGACAAAGAAAGGGAACCAGTCATTGTAAACCCCAAGTGCTTTGTTCATATCCGCCTCAGTCATTTACCACAGCAGACAGGCTTCAACGTTCCTATGGTGGGCAAATCACCCCTCCTACCCCTGGTTATTCACAACAGCTGCTGAGCAAGGCTTTCTCTACTTAGAACTGTAGAGCTAACAATAGGGGACCTCCAGTCTGCATCCAACTATTTAGAGCTATTCATGGCCTCAATGAGTCTTCTGCCATTCACATAATAGCTAACTGCGTCAGCTCAGTGCTAAAGTTGGAGGCCTTGAAGTGAGAAATAAATACCAAGTATGTGTGAAAAGGTTTATACCTTTAAAGACAACTTTACTATATGTCACAATAAAAGCACCTTGCATGCAGTGTGCTTTAGGAAAATGAAGCAAACTGGAAGTGAATCCTGCCCTGTGATATGAACAAGATGAAGCATGATCACCATCTGATTTTTAAGGCTCTCTCACTATATCAGCCCAATAGTGGGTACTTGGCCCTAACAACATTTACAGATCTGTAAGGTGGAAGCTCCACCACACTGCTTGCACTTACTTTATACAGATCCTTCAGATCTGTGAACATCGAAGTGTTAAGGCCATGGGGAATGGGTGGGAAGTGAATTGGTACTGGCTGTACGTTGACTTGATGTGGTGGTTAGAAGGGCTTGGCGTGGTATGCACAGCTGGTGTCACAGACGGTCTTGGCCTGGCCAGTCAGCTGGGAAGTCAGCTGCAGAAGTGGTTCATGCCACTCAAATTACATTGGCACTGACCCTGAGAACAACTCCAGGGTGGGGGGTGTGTGTGTGTGTGTGTGCGCGCGCCTTAAGTACTGTATGTATTACATTATTATTACATTATTATGAGCAGGCTGTTTATTACACTTTGATCTTAATACATGTTAACTGTATTCTGTATCCAACAGGGAATAGAACCTTGAAGCCCAATAGCTTGAAGCCCCCATCTTTGAAGACAATGTTATCTCACTGAGCTAAAGCTAAGGCATTAGCACTGGAAACACATATATCCAGCAATGACCTTGACAATGTTTTTACTTAATAGTGATTGTTTAAGTATTATCAGAGACTGTAAGTGTTTATCCCTGTAAAGGATTCACTCGCTCAAAAGTGATCAAATGAATCATTGATAGCAGAACATGTGAGCAAAAGAAAGAAAATTGAACTCTCTATAGAAAGCTGTTCTTGCATTAGAGCCAGAACCAGATATGGTAGATTGCAGTATGTCACAACCAACAACCAACCAAGTATTTTGCTTTAGTAAGTAAGATGTTGCAACTATGTTAGAGTATTTCGGGTCTGAATAGTATGTGAATCAAACATCAATAAATGTTTCCCTGAAATGGTCCTATTTTTGTGAGTTTGAAGATCGAAAATAACCACAGTTGGTGAAATTGTTGGACTCTGTCTTAAAGAGACAGTACTTGCAGCTGTTAAAGACCCAGTGAAACCCTCCCATGTGTCTCTGCAGCCTCACTCTAGCAGAAACCCACTGCCTATTAAGGGAGGACTGTACACTGGCTCTCAGACTGGGTTGCGCTGGCTCTCAGACAGGGTTATGAAAATATTGCCAAATAAGGGGAAGAGTGACTTAGTGTATGTACTTAATGGAGATGAATGGAAGGTGCACATTGGTACTGCATAGGGAGATACAGTATATGCATGAATGGC